CAAGGAGCGTTTTGTGATTAGCTCAGGCCTAGGCATCTGCACGTTAGATGCCTCAGGGCATATAAATTCCCCAAATAAGAAGGCTGCTCAGGCTCAAGAAGGGTGTCAGTCTATGTCTCTGGTTAATGTCCCAGAGGAGACAATCACACAGATTTGGGGGGAGTGAGGGGGGAAGTTGGGCCTACTCTGAGTAGGCTGCTAAGTCAGGTCCTACATCCAGCACAGGTAGAAAGTGCCTGGTTTAGGAATTCTGGAAGGACAAGACAAGAGATACTGTGCGCTGTCAGATCAGAAATGTCCATTTACATGCCTAATGGCAAAGACAGTCTGTAGTACACCTTCCCAACAGGAATATGGATGCTCAGGGAGATTAGGGGCAGGATCGAGTTTGTAATGAAACACCTATATTTAGTTGTTTACACATAGCTGTATGCCTACAAGCTAACTAGGGATGTAAGCGTCCATTAGATAAATGGAGCTCAGGTCAATACAGTCTGTGCACCTTTCAAAGTGATTCAGCTAACCAACCAGTCACGTACAGACATAGTTGGCCCATACCTATATGTAATAAGCATATGTCTAGTAGGTGTATCACTCCCTTTGAGATGTCCTAGATTAGCCAAGACATGGGGCTGCCAACTACACCACAGGACCTACTGACCCCATGGAGCACCAGTGCCCTTCATGCAGCAGAAGATGGATACACTAAGGGCTCTCCAAGGTCACTTGGATGCCTACATTTGAGCTGCTGAATCACTTTGGGTTTGTCTTGCAGGCAGAAGAACCTCTTTCTTGGTTCCACTGCCAAAATTTGCCTGGTGCAGCCCAGGAGGCCTTCAGCAAAACTTAGTGGCATCATCTAACCCTGTGTGAATTTCTGGCAAGTAAATGTCATTTCTTATCAGTGGTGTCAGGCAGCTGACCTGTGATGCACCATAGTCAACCCTCGCTGCAGGAAAGCTGAGCCTGCTAATCCAGGCAGCTGGTTTCAGTCTATCACAAGGGTGATGTTGGACCCTGGCTATAAATCAGGGGTGGCTGCGCAGCAGCTCATTTAGACCATGTTGCATCCTACAGCTGGATTAATCTCCTCTCAAGAAACTGGCTGCAGTCTTGTGCCCTGTTTGACAGGCCAGTCTGGGAAGAACCTGAGCAGAATCTTAGAGGCTTAAGGACTAGACTGAGACTACTTTTCTGACCACCTAGACAGGCTGTCTTAAGGTAATACACTCTTTTATTCATTTGTTCTGGGCTTACCTTGGCTGCGACCTTTTACAGAGCCCTAGTACAAGACACTCCAATAAGCAGGGCTTTAAGTAAGGTCTTCAAGGTTGTAATCATAACCCAGCAAAAAAGGGAAGAACTTCTACCAGCTTTAGTGACCTTAATACACTAATCTTTAATGTCTGATATAATCTATGTGAAGTCTTTTCTTCTCTGCAAATTAATTTCAGATTTCAATAGAAACAAATTTACACAAATATACAACCTGACTTCTGAGTTTCCAGTTAGTTAATCATTTCCAATGACATTCACAAGAGGAGAATTATGGAGAACTTTATAAATTAGATTCGCCTTCTATAGATACTACGTCAGGCTTGGCATTTAGCAGTCTGGGGCATTATTGAACTAAAGAAGAGAATTAAAATTCACCGTAGTCAGATATTCATTGAGAATGCCCGGTTCCTTTCAAAAATAACCCAACGAGGTAACAAACCACATTAAAATACCAGTCAGTTACAGCTGTTGCATACAAACGATTGTCAGACCTATCTGACTTTGTACACTTGCCCAAATATATGTTGGTGTCCAAATATACTTGGACCCTCGTCCAAAGGTATGTTAACAATACTGTAACTCACAGATATTACTGTCATATTGCTGCCTTTCTGCATTTCTAAAATCTACCTTTGTATGTTTAAGTATCCACTGTGAATCATTTTACATTATCTCGACTAAATTTCATTTTACTAGCGTTATTTATTTTGCCCTCTTCTGCCATTTATCAAAGTGGTTTTGTAGTCTATTCATATCCTCTAAGGATGCATAATCCCTCCCAGCTTTATATCACCTTAATATTAGGTTGGTAAGACTCTCCACAGTTGTTAATTGACCTCTCTGGTATCCTATTCAAAACATTCTCCCAAGATAATGATGAAGTATTACAATTACCTCATATTTAATTTTTAATAAAATTTTACAGTTATCACACTGATATACATGCAGCATTAACTTCCAGAAAGAGATGCGGTAACCATTTTGAAGTCCTTATAAAACCACGTCCTCATGAAAGAAAAAACTTTTTTTCCCCACAATCTGTGCTGCTTAAAATGTATGTAAAATTATATAACCAGAAATCAAATGCTTATGTTTTTTCATCAGCTTTATGAAAGTCAGTATTTGATGTGATAGTGGTCTGCATTTCCCTAGGCCTTCTATCATTCTTCGGAAACGAGTAGAGTAAGAACTACTCTGACCTGTGTTATGCAGAATTCAGACTATTTGATCAAAACAGGTCCTCCTGGCTTTAGCACTTACTCCTCTTCTGTTGTACTGGAATACTGTAGTGAACTCAAGTGCCAAAAATCCACCACCTTCTCAAAAATGACTGCTAGTTATGACTGTGACATAACTGAAATTAAATATTTATTTTTGTAAATTAAGGTATGTCTTGTGGGGATCTGTTCAAGCTTTCAAATACCACTCTGAGAAGCTATGCAAGGTGCTAAGAGCCTCTTTGTGAGTCCTGACTGCCTCCAGTTCGCAATCAGAATGAGCAATAAGCTGCAACTGTGAAAGAAGACATTGTTGACAGAAAAAATGCACACGCTTGGAAAAGTGCAGATCTGCCCCACCACATCCAAAACTTAGAGTGTTCTTATCTCAAAAAGACCAACCTCTGTCCTTCTGGGCAGCTGAGAGACAGTTCCGAGTAACTGATGACAAAAATAGCAAATGACTCCTTTTGGCAAGGAACCCTTTGTTCCTCATTCGGCTGCACAACAGTGCAGCCAGGTCTCAGCAGGCACAAAGTGGATGCCCCATTGCTGTCTAACTAGCGATTCTTGCAGGATGTTGATCTATGTAAGAGCTGTTTAATCTTCCGTTCCCGAGCAAACTCACTTAGAAACTAGCCACTGCCCAATGACAAACTAAAGGATGAAAACCAATTGCATGAGAGCTGACTCCAGATAAAACTGACATTATTTGGATGGGTATTTGAAACATTTTGAAGGCTTGCGTCATTGGTGCCACTGCCTTTTTTTAAAGTGCCATGCCAACAATCAGTCAATTCAGCTTCTAATTTGGGAGTTCTTCTAGCCTACCTGCTGATAATAAGCTCCTTTATAGCAGTGAATAATGCCTTACAACATTTCTTGTTGGCCAGGAAAACCTGCACCACTCTGGCAATCCACCACCAGGTGATTAGGCTTCAGCCAGCCTCATTTCTGTCACTTCTTGTGTAGATTGCAAGCGATATGGCATACCTAGTTATCAACCCTCAAGAAAAATACTTCCCAGTCCTTCAGCAAACTCAATCACATCACCTCGGCAGCATGGACTGTCAAAGCAGTCTTCTGCTCCTGGCACTGGCCTCCTATAGCAATACCAAGTCAATTAGTTTGACTCGCAGTTTTTATCAGTGGCCTGAGATCCTGATCCTTTAAAAACCCTCTTAGAGCTCTGTGATGAGATTTGGCTGACAGCTTTGCTCTTTGGGTACAACTGAGCTTTCTATAATAAGGTGCAGTTATTTGCATGAGAGACAGAGCTTTCCTGCAGGAAGATCTTTAGTTTGTGGGATTAATTGTCATACAAACCAAATATCATCAAACCTTTCACCTGATTTTTGATGCATGAACAAGGCAAGCTTTAGAGGCTCCACTGTCCCTAGTATAAACACAGTCAATTTGAGAGAGTATTGCCAAAAGCTGTAGCAGGGGAAGGGAAGCAGAGCTGGCCTATATAGAACTAAAGAGAACTAACCAGCATGGAATGAAATGATAATATTTTATATGCTAAAATGTATACTAGATAACATCTATTTAAACTATGTAACATTGTTTCACTATGTAACAGGTCAAAAGTATATGTAAATGATACAGGAACAGGTCCACTGATGATTATTAAAATGAAGATTCAGATGCAACCTTTTGCACTGGAGGTTTCTAAAGGCTTTGATTTTTCATAAGCTGGGAAGATATGTTGGGGTAAAGACTGTTAAGCAAATGTCCCACTTCTTAAATTCTTCAGTAATTACCCCATTTCCAACACTGGAAGAGTGGACAAGATCGACCAATTTTGTCATCCTTTTGTCCCAACCATTACTGTGGAATGGGAACCACCACTGGTACTGGGGCTACAATAGGGGCAGGAGGGTTGGGCTAGATGTTGGGGTGGGAGTCTTGGCTGGAACCACCAGGTTTGTTCTTGTACTGAGCTGGGTCCTGAGGAGGGCACCAGCTGGTATGATGGTGACTATGGGGTGTTGAAAAGCCTGAAGGGGCGTCATTAAGCTCCATGAAGAGCAGAGGAGGAGAACAGTCTTGGCCAAGACTGGTGGGGTGTGGCAGAGCCATGGGTACCTGAGGCAGACTGAGCTGTAGGACAGGCTCGTAGCTCAGCCATGCAGCTCTGACTGCATCTAGGTGAGTTGGAAATGCAACTAAGCTTGGCTGAAACAAGGCCAAACAACCATAGTGTTCCCAGGAATTTCCTGTCCTTATTGTCAGAGTGTGCAGCTCATACACTTGACATGAACCCGGAGGGTTATGTGTGAGAGCGATAGAAATGCATCTAAGCATGATGCTGGGGGAACTTGAGTTAAAATGATCTTTCCGTTTATAGAGAGTGGATGGGGAAACAAGAATATATAGATGATATTGTCTCTACACTGGTTCTGACATCCAGCTAAAATGTTGATACCTGCACTTGAAGAGGATGCTAAAACATTGAAGCAGCAGCAAAAAAAAAAAAAGGGCATAAAAATGAGAGAGGGAATGGGGAAGGTAATTTACTGTGAGAGGCTGATGAAGGTAAACCTGTTTGGTTTACCAAGAAGAGGACTGAGATGACTTGATGATAGTGCTCATCTTTAGGAGCAGTCAATATATGGGACACCACAGAATGGTCTTTAAGGAACAGGCAGAAATCTGTGAGTGTGAACACAACTCCGGTTAGAAATGAAGAACACATGTTTAATCATGAGGGTGAGAGCAGCCACTGGAACAAGATGCCTAAACTTCAACTCATCAGGTCTTTGCTCCAGGTGGTGTTTCTGTCCAAAAGGCATGCCCTAGCCTAATACAAAATACACTGCCCCTGCCGCTGCCAAATCCATCCTTGAATGTCGTGCCAGTTTTATCCCCAAACTCTCAGGGGTTTTAGGAGCAGCTGAAACTGGCTGGGTACCACGCTAGTGCCCCCTCCGGTCCCGTCTCCTCTGGCACCTCTATATTCCTTGAGGTCCACCTCACTGCAACCCTTCCCATGTCTAGTGGACAACCCGTGCTTGCACGCTGCTGCCGACGCGGCCGCTCCTGCCGCCACATAAGCATCTCCTTCACATGCCGCTGCTCTGTGGCAGCTGCCATCCCCGCTCTTCTGGAGAAACATCCGCACCCACTCGCTTTTCTCGTAACCCTTTAAGGGACACCGAGGTCTCCTCCAGCAGGAGGAATCCCCCTCGGGGCGCACCTCCTCGCAGGGGACATTTCCACCATCTCCCTGCGGAGAGAGGGTTTCCCCAGGGCCGCCCCGACCCCGCGGGGCACCGTCCCCGGGCGAGCCCTGCCCGGAGGGCGACGGCGGGTGGCGCTGGCA